TCTGGAATTTAAAAATCAAGAATTTGAAAAATTTCTGGCTGATAAAGGAGTCAGACACAATTTCTCTTTTCTTTACACCCCACAATAGAATGGCATAGTTGAAAGACAAAACCATTCTTTATGTGAAGCTGCTTGAACAATGCTTACCTTCACTTCACTACCATTGTATTTATGGGCTGATGCTATTGCAACTGCATGCTTTACCCAAAATAGATCCTTTCTGAACAAGCGATTCTCTCTTACTCCATATCAAATTATTAACAAACACAGACCTAACGTTAGGTTTTTCCATGTATTTGGTTCCAGGTCTTTCATCTTCAATTCCAAGGAAAACTGGAACAAATTTGAAGTGAAAGCTAATGATGGTATCTTTCTGGGGTATTCGTTGAATTCCAAGGCATTTAGGGTCCTCAACAAACGCTTAAAGAGGATAGAGGAAACCTACTATGTCACATTTTATGATAACTATTTGAAGAAGATTCAGCAAACTAAAAGCCTATCAGAAGAGATCTTTCCAAATCCAAGTGTAGTAACGGTTCCTATCTCAACTCTACATGATGCGTTTATGCATCTCTTTGATGAACCAGAAAAAGCTATTTCTTCTAAACATAAAGCAACAGACAATAAAGAAGATGAATTCAAGAAAATCATCGACAGTGTTGTGAAAGATATGGAAAACGAACCTCCTAGTTCAAATGAACCTCCAAGTTCAAGCAAAACAACACCAGCACACACACAATTGCAGGGGTAGGGTTCAACTTCTTCCTCTACACCTAAAGTGACTTTTGAGGGGGAGCATCCATCTCCAAGAACCACCCATGAACATCCAGCTGAGGAAGAGCAATATCAACCGGAGAGTGATGAGCCATCATCATTAGAGGGGGAGAATAAAGAAGCGAATGTTGATTTAGATGTACATTCTAAATTCGAAGAAGTAAAAACGAAACTGGATCCTTCTTATGATCCAAATTATCCTCCACTAACAAAATGGGCCAGAGATCACCCAAAAGCTGAAGTCATAGGTGAATCATCTGCAGGTGTCCTCATAGAATCTCAGTTAAAAGCGAAGCAAAACGTATTATTCTCTAAGGTGGAATTTTGTATGTTCAACTCATTTGTTTCTAAGGTCGAACCCAAAACTATCAACACAGCTCTTGATCACTCTGATTGGGTGCAAGTGATGCAAGACGAACTCAATGAGTTTGAGCGAAACAAGGTCTGAACATTAATACCAACTCCACCAGATGTATAACTTGTTCATTTAAAATGGGTGTCCCGTAATAAGGTGGATAAAGAAGGCAATGTTATTAGGAACAAGGAGAGACTAGTGGTTAAGGGATATTGTCAAGAAGAGGGTATAGACTACGAAGAAACCTTCGCACCTATTGCGAGGTTGGAAAGGTTTCGTATCTTTCTAGAATATGCAGCACACAAGAATATTGAGGTATTTCAATGGACATCAAGTGTGCTTTCTTGAATGGAGAACTGGAAGAGACTGTATATGTCGAGCAACCACCAGGTTTCATGAACGAGAAATTTCCCAATCACTGCTACATTTTGGATAAAGTCGTCTATGGTCTAAAGCAAGCGCCAAGAGCCTGGTATGAAACTCTAACTCACTTTCTTAAAATGTCAAATTTTAAAAAATGTTCGGTTGACCCAACCTTATTTCGTAAGAAAGAGAGTGACCGCCTAATGATCGTCCAAATTTATGTCGATGACCTCATATTTGGTTCTACGAATCCTAGCTTAACAGCTGAGTTTCGCAAGTGGATGGAGTCTAAATATGAGAGTAGATCAATGGGTCCAATTAACTTTTTCCTTGGTCTGAATATTAGACAGGGACCAGAAGGCGGTTTTATAAATCAAGAGGCATACAACAAAACCTTGCTGGTGAAGTTTGGCATGATGGAAGAATCAAGACTGAGAATTCCAACGGCATTCAGAACGAAACCGACACCACCTCTAGATAAACCGGCTGCTGATATGACACAGTATCATCAAATGATAGGATAATTGATGTATTTAACAGCTAGTAGACCAGATATTATGTTTTTTGTTTATTACTGTGTCAGGTTCCAGGAAAATCCACGAGAACCTCACATGGTGGTAGTCAAGAACATCTTCAGATACTTAAAACGAACTTCATCTCTTAGATTCAAAGCACAACTGGCGCATGCCAATTTCTTGACGGCAAAATAGTTAGTCGGAAATCCAAGAAGCAAACATGTGTTTCGTTGTCAAAAATTGAGGCTGAATACATAGTTGCAGCTTCGTGAACATCCCAGGTTATTTGGATTCAAAGCCAGCACCGTGACTGGCTTATGTATGAAGCGAATCCCACTTTATTGTGACTCTGAAAGTGCAATTTGCACTTGTCACAACCCAGCACAACAGTTCAAGAGGAAACATATAGCACTAACGTACCACTTGATCAAGGATCACGTGGAAGATGGCAACATTGAGATACATTTCGTAAGATTCGCTGATCAGTTCGCTGACATTTTCAATACGGCTCTTCCTGAAACAACCTTTTATAGAATCCTTTAATGGCTAGGAATAATGGAAGCTGAATCAGTACCAAAACCACCTTCGCACTAATAAAGAAGTAGTTGTGAATTTGTGCAAATGCTCATAGTCTCTCGCAAACAACTGTTCATTTTGTTTTCTTTTATTGTTGTGAATCATTTTGAATGTTTGTAGGAGTTCGTTGTTCACTGTTCATTTGTGGTTTGGTTTCTTATATCCTTTTGCACTTTTTTGCATATTTTTGCTTGTCTTTATTTCACAATTTTTCTGTTTTTATTCCAGTAAATCCCAAAATCCAAAATTATTATATTTATTTCTGTTTTATTTCTTTTTAGAAAATAAAAATTCAAAAATATGTTTCTTTCTATCTTATTTTCTTTTTCTTTTATGTTTCGCAGGTCATAAAATTCCAAAAACATCAGAAAACCATAAAACTCAAAGTAACCACTTGTTCGGCCGAGATACATTCGCTTTCTCTGGAACCACCTCCTAATTTTCTCCATTAATTTCGTTTTCATCAATGTAACCCTCGAGATTCTTAGGATTTACCACTGAGGCTTATTGTTGCACAATGTCTGTGTTGATGATCTTAGTTTTGTTTCACCACATGCTAAGTTAGACTAAAAATACAACACCATATTGAATTGACAATGAACCATTGAAAGTTCTAGCTTTTCACCCACGAATTAACGAACGTTACTTTCATGGTTTTTACCTCAAAATCTCATTCCTTTTGCGTGATCTTTATGAAGTGTTCTATTACCAAGTCACTTCTTCCTAATGGATCCAGTTTTATTTTTTATTTTTTTGAAATTTCCAAGTTTTCTCTTGTCACCACTATAACTACGAACCTACTCGTTCAACTGACTACACTGGTCACACGAGTACTCCATCCGAGATTCATTCTTATATCAAGTTCATTGTCCAAGATTAGAGAGTTAGCCACCCAATAAGCAAAAATAAAAGAAGCCTTTCAGTGTTTCTTATAATACATCTGATCGAATTTTAACGGGAAACCATACATACACTTCTTAGTCTTTCTTGACTTTAAGGGAAGCAATCTTTGCCTGGGATTAACAGATTTGTGTCATAATGCATACATCTTACACTTTCCCTGAAATTCTTGATTTATTCCTTTATCTATGACACTCTTGCACGAAGATCATCATGATCTACCAAAATTCTTGTTTTTGGTTCTATGCAATATTATTTCAGGTTCCCAATTTAATCTTCTTTTCAAAAAGGAAAAGATTTTTAAGAGTTACACATTGAATATTTAACTGCGAAAGGTGGATGATGATAAGGCAAATTCTACTAGAAAGAATTCAAAACGGTGCATGTAGAATTTGAAACGGCTAGCTATTTTTCTGCCGTATGATGCATGGGTCTGACATCTACAGTTGTCAAATCACGCTTTTTCAGGCGATTTTTCAATACTTAATGCTTTCTCTATCTGAATTTTCCTTACAATTCAAATATTGTATAAAGGTTTTGATGGTTCCTCACTCATTATCACTTTCAAATTCTTCTACAAAGATATCCAGCAAACAAATCGCTCTCCACTGTTCATCGTCTTCCTCAAACCTTAAACAATGGCGACTTCATCATCATTTCAACATCAAACCGTTCATTCTTCTCTACTGGCGGTCAAACCTAATCAGAATCTTCTGATCGATTTGAATCCTATCAAATATAAGACGAATCTTCTATACATGATCGAGTGTCTTAAGTATTCACCATTGGTTCATGCCCTAAGAAAAATGGAGGATGTTCCAATGTCTCTTCTTTCAAAGGCATATTCTTCTGCAAGTTACATCAATGGGGAGAATAAAATTGTTTTTGACATTCACGATCAGAAAACCTCCATCACCAAAACTAGATTCTGTTCCATTTTTGGGCTTCCACAGTTAGAGTATATGATTAATCCTGAAACAATCTCCAGTATTGCTCTCCTGGAGATGTTTTATCAAATGGGATACAAGGAGTCTTTGTCTACACTCTCTAAATTTTGCAAGCCCAACCTTCATCCTCAATGGAATGCTTTATTTATGATCTTGTTCAAAATCTTTTCTGAAAGAATTACAGGATCCAACTGTGCAAGTAAGTTATTCATGACCCTCATCTATGGACTCTACACAGGGATGAACATTGATTATGGAGTAGTTTTATGGGCTTAGGTGATTCAAAGCACTGTCTCCACGTCTCATCATACAGAGATTTCTTGTGCAAGGTTTTGGTCTCTGATAGTTTGCAGGGCCATTATCTAGCACAAAATTCCCCTGATGCAGGATGCACTGGCCTTCACAGTTTCCACCCTTCAAACAATAGGGATAAATGTTTCCGATCCATAAAAGTTCTCATTCATTGGATCTATCCCCGAGGTCACGTTTCAGGATGTTCCTGCTTCAAGCAAACTCTTGGAAGGCTTTCGCAAACTTACACCTTCGGGGTTTAGGCCACTTACTCCAGAAATGCAGGTAGCTCTTGATACCGCTGATAATGCGGAAAGGAGTTAGAGAAAGCAATTAAGAAAGAATGAAGGTCCATCTGGTGCTACCAAACCTTCGCCTAAGAAGGGAAAGGCACCCGCAACATCCTCTAAGGCTATTCCAAAGAAAAGAAAAAAACCAGCTCACAAACGGAAGACTGCTACTCCCTCTGCAAGTGAAGATTCAGATTCAGAAACTAAGTCAAATGTTCGTGTTGAAACACCTCAACCCATTCACAACGAGGAGGAAATATCGGCTCGTAATGAAGAGGCAAAGACTATTCACAATCAAGATCCTCCAGTTGACAATGAAGAAGATACTATAAACCGAGAGGTACATCAATCTGTTCATGAATCAGTTCCCTCTCCTCCTCCTTCTCCAAAATCAACCTTGATTCCCATTACTATTGCTCCTTGTCCACCCCTTCTTATCTCATCTCAACCTGCTAAGGTTCCCATCTCAACACCAATCTTAACCACTTTAACTACCAATACCATCACTTCTATGATTCCTGAGGTTTTGGTCAACATATCTAATACGGGGGCTACAACTTCAATGTTCACTACCCCTATTTCCTCATCCATTTCTCCTATTCGTAATGATGATCTGGAAATGATATTTGTCGAAGATGATGATGAAGATGAGCTAGGCGGATTCACTTATATAGAGCTAACTTTTGCATGAACTCCCCGTTTTGTGCAGTTTTTGGCTAAGATAAGGTTTGGGCTGCTCCCAAATCATTATAAAAAGCTGAGGGAGGTTATGAGAGAGATATGGGAGAGATTTGGGAGAGAGAGATATTGATAAAGAGAGATTGAGAGAGACTTTGGTAGTGACCTCTTTGGATGTTTAGCTTCACAACGTAAGGTTCGTACACCCCGTTAAGCTTTGTTATGATGGTTATATGCCCCCGAGGGGTATGGAATAATGTTTTATCGAATAGTTTCATCACTTACCCCAATTAAGGTTTAAAATTTCTAAACCAAGGAACTTTACAAGTGATAACTTCTTATTCAAATAGTGATTTCTATGATAGTAACATAATGTAAATCCTAACATACAAGGGTTAGATGAGTTGGCTGGTTTGACCTGTTGAATTTATTTGACTTTCACTTGATCAGAAATTGACGGTTGTCACATCATCCCCCCTTTAGAAGGAATTCTTCCGGAAATGAACGTTTTGATTGGGAGTTCAAGAATTTGGGAAAAGATGCGGATACTTTTGTTTCATTTGATCCTCGCGTTCCCAAGTGAATTCAGGTCCTCGTTTATCGTTCTAATGGACCTTCATGATAGGAATATGACTTTTCTTTGTCCTTTTGATTTCCTGATCCATAATTTCAACCGGTTCCTCCACGAAGTGAAGACTCTCGTTAACTTTAATTTCATCAAGTGGTATTACGAGGGTCTCGTCGGATAGGCACTTCTTTAAGTTCAATACATGGAAGGTAGGTTGTATGTTATTAAGTTCATGTGGTAGTCGGAGTTTGTACGCTACTAGGCCAATCCTAGAAAGGATTTCGAATGACCCGATGTACCTAGGGTTTACTTTACCACGTGTACTAAAACGTACCATACCCTTCCAAAATGTACAATAACCTTCCAAAGGTTTGCGTCATTTATCGGCATAACTCTTTTGTCGGTTACGAGATGCTTGCAGCCTTTCTCGTATCTGAACAATGTTTTTGTGGTTTCCCTTATAATCTCAGGACCAGTAAGGGTGCTATCTAGGACTTTTCCCTTTGCTAATTGAGTGTCCCCCACTTCAGTCCAACACAGGGGTGATCTACACTTACGACCATATAGAGCTTCGAACGGAGCAACCTTGATGTTGGTATGATAGCTATTATTGTAAGAGAATTTGATGAGTGGTAAGTGGGTATCCCATTCTTTACCAACGTCTATCACACATGCTCTCAGCATATCTTTAGGTGTCTGAATGGTTCATTTGCTTTGTCCGTCCTTCTGTGGGTGGTAGTCTGTACTCATGTCCAACCTCGTCCCTAGAGATTTTTGTAAAGACTGCCAAAATCGTGAAGTGAATCTACTATCTTTGTCAGAGATACTGTACATTGGCACCCCCATGCAGTCGTACAATTTCTTTGATGTAGGTCCGGGTCAGTTTCTCCATCTTGTTAGTCTCCTTGATCGGCAGGAAGTGCACGGATTTGGTTAGCCTGTCAAAAATTACCCAAATGGTATCCAGTCCACCCGTTTTCTTGGGTGCTTTGGTTGTGAAGTTCATGGATATCCGCTTCCACCTCCTTTCGATTATCACTGGTTGTTGTAGAAAATTCAAAGGCTTCTATTGTTCTACCTTGACCTTGGTACAAGTCCGATACTTGTCCACATGTTTAGCGATGTCAGCTTTCCTATTCGGTTATTGATCTTTCTTTTTCAGGTCCAAACACCTCTTGTCCGCATCTGGATGAATGGAGTAGTGAGTTTTCATGTGCTTTGTTCATGATGTCATTTCTGATCCCATCAACTTCGGTGTCCAGATCCGGTTCATGATATAACATGCCCTACCAGTCTTTCCTTATAGGTTTTATGATCGGTGAAGATTGTACACTTTGTCTCATGGAGATGGATCTCTAGGGCGAATACTACCGCTCCTAGCTCGAGGTCATGAGCAACCTAGCCGACCCCGTACATCTTTAGCTGTCTTAAGTCATAAATAAAAACTTCTCCTCGGAACGTTGCATAGGGCATGATGTAGTGTTTCTCGTTTGATTAGATCGGTACGGAGCATATGGGTTTTGTTTATGCGACTAGACTTATTCGGATGGTAGAACATTCACTCGCACTCCTGCGTAGCCTTGTCCCGAAGTTCCTGGTAGGACTCGTACCTAGTCCATCTATCTTTAACTTGCGCATAAAGATCGTATGTAATTAGGGTTGGTAAGATAGTTGGATGGCTGACTCTGCCCCAAGTCCAAAACCAAACAAGGAACAGGAAATAGGGCGGAAGCACACATCCAATGTCCATGGAATCTTAATTATATATTATCCTCACATATACACTTAGTAGTGATAGACTAACCATATTTGTCCCAAGCTTTTGTGCTTGATCTTGACCTGCTATATGAATGATATTCTCGAAGGGTTTACTAGGAATAATTTGAAAAGTTTACAGAAGGTATAACACACCTCCAGACAGTGATTTCGGGTTTCGCAATGAACGATGACCAGAGAGTCAGAGTCAGATTTAGGGTTATGAGAGGCGAGGGTTTTGATATTTAGTCGGTTAGGTGGAGGGTCTTCTCATAACATATGCAATTGATAAGCTGATGATCCAAACCAATCTATATCGAATCACGACACCGGATTTTCTCGATGACACATGCATTAAGTCGTATTCGCAAGAGGTATTTGTTAGAGTGATAGTGCATCCTGTTTTTCTTTTTAGTGTTTTCTGTTTTGATCGATGTTTTTGTTACTGCAAATGATTTATACCACAATAGCTAGTACTGGTAGTAAGTGTGCTCTAACAGCTAGTAATGATATTTTATATCGTGATCCCCGACCGATCATTCTATGATCGATCGGTATATGCAAGTCGTATGTCATATGATATTGAGGAAACTGACGAGGAAATGGCTCTACCCTAGTCCCACTACTAGACGTGGAACAAGAACTAGGACGTAATTATTTGCTTTAATTCTATAGTATTTTGATTGTAATTAATCATGATGTATACATCGAGTCATCACAGGTTACCAATAATGATCCTAGTGTCATATATGAGTGTCTTTGATTCGATCGAACGGGAGAATATTTTAACAACTTTTTGAAAGATGGTAATTTTAGCAAACAAACCAATTTCATTACAAGCATATAGTATTTAAACATTTTTGTTGTTGGAAATACTACAAAAGTCCTAATAAGATTCTTGGCTTCACACTCCTCCTGCTCCCCCATCGTTTCTCTCAGTTGGACAGCTTCTCTTGAAGTGTCCCATTTCACCGCATAGATGGCATATTGGACTTACACTGGTATTGGTGATTGAAGTGATGCGGTGAGTCTGGGTCTTGCAGGAGCGGGCAGTATGTCCGTTCTTCTTGTAGTTTTGATAGTACAGCACTCGGCAAACCCCATTATGATGGTAGCCACACTCGTTTCACTTTGGTAGTGTTCCCATATATTTTCTGACCAATGCTTGAGTGACCGACATTGTGGCTATGGTCGAGGCACCTTCGTTGGTGGACACCCGCTAGTGTTCTTGATTGTTATTGTGGTTAGTATTCCCGACACCACCTTCACCTCTGCTTGCGTTGTTAGCATTCAGTTGCGCCATGACGACTGTCACGGCTGCAGTGACCGTAGCTTGAAAAGTAGCATAGTCTATCTTTTGGATTGCTGCCTTGCTTGTTGGTTGGTTATCTTCTCATGATGGCATAACCCTGTTGCATCGGGAGAAATGATGTCGTGAGTGGGGATGATTATCTCTAATTATATCCTTACCATTTATATACACATATATAAATTTTGCACTTTACTGAACTATTCTTGATGTCTATGCCAATGTTCCTAAGACGGAGTTATGGTAGTGGGTAGAAGTAGGTTTTGCATGGGCGTTAAATTTTACCCAGCCTAGGATTATGTTTTTCCAAATATGCTTAGCTGAGGAGTTCTGACGGAATTTGGTGCATTAATGCTGGTATGATCGCACCCTATATGCCTACAAAGATGGTAATTTAATCCATGAGGTTTGAAAAGGTGAGATGATAATGAGCTTTGAACAAGGGTTTATACGTCGTGAGTTATCTAACTAAGTTTATCTTAGTTCTGAGTGTATTGTATTTCGATTTTTATGGTGTTCTGAAAGCAATTCCTAATAAAAGTCTATATATAATAAACCCATGTATTTTAGTAGTTCTGTATCCAAGTGAAACCTTGTAAGTTGATCCACGTTAGGTACTTCTTACGACCACTTGATGTATGCTTAGTTGCATGAGTAAGACTTAATAGACCATCGAGTCTAACAGGTCTGCCGTAAGCCCAATTTTGTTAATATGATTCTAGTAATTTTGGTTTCAAAGAAAATTTTGACCTCGAAGTGGGTCTACACCAGATCATTATAAGGAAAAGTTTCGACAACGAATAAATCCCCTGATTAGTATAACCACTTAAATCGCAGGGTTGAGCTTACACATAGAATAGAGTAGCACCAACGCATAGTCATGAACCTAATCTACAAGGTCTTGTGAGTAACATGAACTCTGCTCACAATAATACGTCCCTGGTGGTGCTTGAACGAAGTCGACGCGTCCTGTAGTTCTGCTAACCTACGGTCGGCTGCGACCACTCTCTCTTCGAGTGTCGAGTGTCTATCCTGACGCTCTCTTGCCTTCGCCCGAGTAGCGACAAGGTCCTTAATGAGTTGTTCTCTGAAATAGTAGTTTCTTTCCAAGTCTTGATTTTCTGATATGGTAGCATCTGTAGTAGCATGCAGTTCCCGAACTTGATTCGTAGTCTCCCTGCTTTGATCCCCAATGTTCGCAATCTTTCGGGTCTTCGTCGGGAGAGCTCTGTTGGTCGGTCCCCCGTGGTTGAGGTCATAGCAACCCCGTTGGTCTCCAAATGGTGATCGTTGTCATTGCTATCGGCTACAACCCTTGATCATGTTTGCCCAACGGTCACAGGTCCGATGTAGTCGAAATGGTTCGCGGGAACCCTGGCTA